AGAACATTAGAAGATTCTGCTGATTTGCAAAAATCAGCTGATGATTTTCTGGAAACAGTAAAACCTCTTATTGAACAGTTTGGATCTGAAAATATTTACAATTCAGATCAAAGTGGTTTCCAATTGGAACTTCACTCTGGAAGATCATTGTCTAACCAGGGAGAAAAGAAAGTAGAACGTGTCGTGCAATCCATATCATCAACAACCCATTCATATACGATACAACCAATAATATCCTGTAATGGCAATTTGTTGTCCCCTTTATTTATTGTATTAAAAGAAGCTAATGGTAAATTTGGACCAAGAGTACAAGAAAATTTATTTAAAGCAGAAAATGTTATTGTAAAAGCATCGAAATCTGGTAAAATGACATCAGGTATTTTCCTTTTATAATTACTTTTTTTAACAACCTTATTTTATTTAACAATTTAATAAGAGTCATAAAAAAACTATTAAATTAACATTTATATTTTGTACAGATCATTTTAAAATGTGGTTAGAAGAAGCTTATTTCGCAAACATTGGTCCTAATAGCGTTCTTCTTATCGATTCATGGACTGGACATTGCCCCAATATGATTTCGGATTTAACACCTCCTGGAACACATATTACTACTATGATAATACCGAAAGGAACTACAGGGAAAATACAACCATTAGATGTTTATGGATTCAGAATTTGGAAAAATTTTGCTAAAAGATTTTCAGATGCGGTTTTACTGTTGGAAAGTAATATAAACTTACATGAACGAAATAATATAATAAAATTGCAATCTTTGATACATAATCAATTGTCATCCCCACGATATCAAAACTTATTTAAATATTCGTGGTTTAAAAGTGGTTATACGAATGAAAGACCAGACGAATTCGAAAATCCAGTACACTTTAGTTTAGACGAAACTTTAACAAAATGTGATATCGAAGGTTGCAATAATATAGCTGTAGTAAGATGTTCTTGGTGCAAGAAGTCATTATGTTTGAAACATTTTTTTGTCGAATATCATTATTGTAATGTGTATAATGAGTGAATAATATAAAATGCAAATACATTTTTAAAAAAATCTAAATATACACAATACACAGTTATAAATACATAGAAAACATAAATAAGAATTATACAAAAACATTTTTTATATATTTTATTGTTCGACGGTAATTACTTACGCACATAGCACGGATGAGCGTATATACGGGAGCGTTTATAATTAATTTTCGAAAATGATATTTCGTAACATAACTTTATTACACATGGTTGAATTTGGAAAAAAATAAGCTTTAAATTAGGTAAAACAAAATTTTTAATTTTGAAAAAAAAAATTAGGTGGTGAGGGTTTTTTAAAAAAAAAAAAAAAAAAAAAAATTTTTGTTCATATAACTTTAAAGTACTCTTCAAGCCATTAAAATTTGTTGTACGTTTTTTCTTTATATCTCTTATAGTTTAGCAGATATTTGATCCTAAAGAAAAATACCGTTATTCTTTAAAGGGGTGTTTCACCCCTTAAAACTCAAATTGCGCACGTATAAAAAAATACGTGTCTTTTAGATTTGTGTATTTAACAACATATTTCAAGGAGAATCAAATCGGTTCCGGACAGTTGTGACATGTCCCTTGTCAGAAGGGCGAGACGTCGTGAAAAGCGACCAAAGTTAGGTTGCCACGCACCCCTCCGGCGTCAGCGATCACGCTGACGAGGCCGGAGGAATGCGAGTGCACTCTCGATAAGGCAATAGGCCTTGTGAAGGCGGCCATTAAGCTGGCCGACTTCGGATTAACAGGACTCAGGTCCAAGAGGGCCGCCACCGGGGCACTTCTGCTTGAGGTTCCCGGTGAAGGCGGTTCCGCCAAGGCGGAAAAGCTGGCCGCCCGCATGGCGGAGGCCCTGACCGGGACGGGCATAAAAGTAGTCCGCCCGGTCAAGCGCGTGGAAGTCCGAGTCTCCGGACTATCGGACGACGCGAACAAGGAAGAGGTAATCTCCTCCCTTGCCTCTGCGGGAGGATGTCCCGAGGGGGACATACGCGTCGGCGACATCCGACGCGCCCCCTCGGGTTTGGGAACTCTGTGGGTCCAGGCCCCGCTCGCGGCTGCCCGGCGAATTGCCGCGGCATCCGACGGGCGCGGCTTGGTTGTCGAATGGATGATCGTGCGGGCCGAGGTACTAGCGACCCGGCCCCTGCAGTGCTACCGCTGCCTGGAGGTAGGTCACCCCAGACAGCGGTGCACAAGCACCGCTGACAGAAGCGGACGCTGTTACCGCTGCGGTGGCACAGGTCACACGGCAGCGAAGTGCGAGGCGACTCCCCAGTGCCCGCTATGTACGGACCTGGGGAGACCGGCAGGACATCGTCTGGGGGCACCATCCTGTGCCCCCAAACAGAAGAAGGGAGGAGGCGCGTCCCAGAAGGGACCCAAGGCGGCTCCTCGAAAAGGAGGAAAAGATTCCACTGGGGACACTATCGTGGGGGCTTCTGGGGGGACGCCCGCAAATCTGGGCGACAACTATCGGGGGGCACCCGTTAAGGGGACCTCCCGCAGCGAAGGGACTGGTACGGGAACCAAGACACCGAGGTCGTAAATAACGGCGGATATATCCGCCACTGTCATTGCGACCAAGGTGATGCAGGCCAACCTGAACCACTGCGCCGCTGCGCAAGACCTTCTGGTCGCCAGTGCGGCGCGGTGGGGGGTTGACCTTGTAGTCATCGCTGAGCCGTACTCGATTCCGCCGTCTGCGGTCTCGAGCAGGTGCGGTTCGGCGGTGATCTTGGCCCCATCGCGGCTGCCCGGCACATCCTTCGAGCGCCTTGCGGCGGGAGAAGGATGGGCAGCCGCTCGGTGGGGGGAACTCACGGTGGTGAGCTGCTACATAAGTCCGGGTCACAAGCGGCCCGTGTTTGAGAGGATCCTGGGTGCAATACGCTCTTTCGTAGCACAGTGCAGGACCCCCAAGATCCTGGTCCTCGGGGACTTCAACTCCAAGTCGGTGGACTGGGGTTGCCCCGAGGACAGTGTAAGGGGCCGCATATTGCGGACTTGGGTGGAGGGCTCGGGGCTACGCGTTCTTAATCGCGGCTCCGAGCCTACGTGCGTCCGCGCTCAGGGGACGTCCATTGTGGATGTAACGTTCGCGACCCCTGATGTCGCCGCCACGGTGTCGGGGTGGAGGGTGATGGACGAGGAGACGCTGTCCGATCATAGATATATCGCCTTTGATCTGCGTCCCCCGTCCAGCAGGGTACCTCCTCGGCACACCCACCCGAGCAGCTCACCAAGATGGGCGCTGAAGCGCCTGGATCGAGACGCGTTGCGAGCGGCCATCGCCGCCGCGGTATGGGACCCAGACGCAGACCAGGACTCATGCCCGGATACAGAGTCGGAGGCTGCCGCGCTCCGGGATGTTGCAACGAACATCTCGGACGCGTGCATGCCAAGGACAGGAGCGGCACCCCCAAACCGGCGTTCCGTGTACTGGTGGAGTACGGAGATCGAGGATCTCCGGAATGCGTGCCTCCGGGCGCGCCACCGGTATGCGGAGCTACGACGTCCATTCCAGGGCGGAGTAGCAGTCGGGGCGGGGATGTCCGCGGAGACTGAGATGGCCCTCCGAGCAGAGTACCGCGATGCTCGCGAGGCTCTTTCGGGGGCCATCGGTAAGGCAAAATTCCGGGCATGGGAAGAGTTCATCCTCACGTTGGACCAGGACCCGTGAGGGCGGCCGTACAAACTTGTACGCAAGAAATTGCGTGCATGGGCCCCCCGGTGACGGAGTCATTAGACCCCCAGTTCTTGGGCGGGGTCGTCGACACCCTGTTCCCTGGCACTCAGGGGCAGGAGCGGCCTTGCCCAGAAGACCAGGACGTATCCTGGTCCGAGGACGATCTGGGGGTCACGGAGGATGAACTCAACAAGGCCATGCGCCGTCTGGAAGCCAAAAACACGGCTCCGGGTCCAGACGGCTTTCATGGCCGAGTCTGAGTCGTGGCGCGCAACGCTCTCGGTCACCGGCTCAGGAGGCTCTTCAATGCATGCCTGAGCCGGGGTGAGTTCCCCCCGCAGTGGAGAGGCGCTAAGCTAGTGCTCCTCCACAAGGAGGGACGGTCCGCGGACTCGCCTTCGGCGTATCGGCCGATCTGTCTGCTCGACGAGGTGGGCAAATTGTTCGAAAGAATAATCGTCAATCGCCTCGTTGAGCACCTGTCCCACGTGGGGCCAGACCTGGCGGAGTGCCAGTACGGTTTCCGTGAGGGACGCTCGACCATCGATGCTATTGAGCATGTGAGGTCCCTCACGAAGAGCTGTGTCGCCCGGGGGGGTGTTGCGCTAGCTATATCGTTTGATATAGCGAACACATTTAACACCCTCCCATGGGGTAAGATAAGGGAGGCGTTGCGCGAGCACGCGGTGCCTCCCTATCTCCGCCGGGTGCTGGACGCCTACCTAAGGGACAGGTGGGTGGAATACACAGACAGTGAGGGAGCGATACGTCGGAGGGCCGTGTCTGCGGGAGTTCCACAAGGGTCCGTGTTGGGCCCCACCCTGTGGAACTTGGGGTTAACACGGTTCTGCGGACCATCTTGCCCCCGGGGGTCACGGTAGTCTGCTACGCAGACGACACACTACTCGTGGCTACGGGGGCGGACTGGCTCGAGGCCCACTCTCGAGCCGAGGTAGGGGCGCGACAATTGGCCGCGCGGATTCGCGACTTAGGTCTTCGGGTAGACCTGCGTAAGACCGAGGCGCTATGGTTCCATGCGCCTAGGCGGCGGGTCCCGGGCCCGGTGACGACGATCCGGTTGAGTAAGACCACACACATCAGGACAAAGGCCAAGATGCGATATCTCGGCCTCTTCCTGGATGGCTCTTGGGCCTTTAAAAGCCACCTCGACGTAATGACCCCCCGTGTAAAGGGAGCATCTCTGGCGTTGGGCCGAGTGCTCCCTAATAAGGGGGGTCCCAAGCACGCGGTGCGCCGCCTATACCTAGGCGTGATACGGAGCATGGCCCTTTACGGGGCTCCGGTGTGGGCGCGCGTCGCCGCACAACAGAAGAGTCCTCCTGCAGATGGGGCGGCGCGCGGCACAGAGGATCGCGCGCTGCTACCGTACCGTATCCGCCATGGCGGCGCATATCCTCGCGGGGATCCCACCACTGGATCTCCTGGCGGAGATGTACTACAAATTGTACCGACGTACAAAGGAGATCCGCCGGGGGGTACCCAGGGGGCCTCCGAGGAATTGGACCGCGAAGTCGAGGTGGCCAGGTCCCAAGGCTGGCGGTCTCTAATGGCGCAGTGGCAACGCCAACTGGCCGATTACGACCACTTGGAGATCGTCAGGGCCGTCCAACCCGTCTTCGATAGATGGATGGACGGCAGCCGTGGTCTCACTTACGAGATGTCACAGATACTCTCCGGGCATGGTTGCTTCAGAGAGTATCTGTTTCGGATCGGTCGCGAGTCCGCACCAACGTGTCGCGCGTGCAACTCCGCGCCGGACTCCGTCGCTCATACACTGCAAGAGTGCCCCGCCTGGGCGGAGGAGCGACGCGAGCTCCGGGCGAAGTTGCGGGTAGGATACCTCACGATACCGGCTATCGTTGATGCAATAGCCGGTGAGGGTGAGGAGAGGGAGAAGAAGTGGCAGGCCTTCTGCCACTTCTCCTCCCGTGTCATGGGCAGCAAGGCGGCTGCGGAGAGAGAGAGAGAGAGATGGCGGGAGACCCTACACATAGGCCCAGACGCCCTCGTAAGAGGCGTCTCGGCCTCATGCCGCTCCCGGGATCCCCCGTCGTCGTTCGGCCCATCTTCGGATGGGCGGGCGGCGGCGGCCCCAAAGGGTGGCAATCGCGGGGGCTGGAGCAACACCGGCCCCCATGAGGGCAGCAGCTTCTAGCGCGGGTGGATTTCCTCATCGAGAGGCGCGTAAATGGGGCGCTCGAGGACCTGAGGAGGACTGTAGAGTCTCTCAGGTCCTCTTTGGATTCCCGGGGGAAGGAGACAGGGTCGCCTGCCTCTGTCCCCCCGGTCAAGGAGGTTTCCCCCGTCCTCGACGCCTGTGCGTGGGAGGCGGGGTCGTGGCGCGAGAGGGAAGGTTTCCTTCCTGGGGCTGGGGTCTTCGTCCCCGTCGGTTGCTGATTCGGCTGCCGGGGGGTGGGGGGCTCGGGTCCTGAGAGGGTCCGTGTGATTGGACCTGTGGCTGGTTCCGGACCGGGTGTTCGGCGGGGCCATGTGGCGCGGGCTGCACGCGTCCCGAGTACTTCGGCGGTGCAGCTCCTAGCAACGGGGGGAAAGTTCTACGCGGACATCATGAGAGAGGCCAGGACCCGCTTTGACCCTGGGGAGTTGGGCATTGGCCCAATGTCAATGCGGTTTGGTGCGACTGGGGGCCTGCTTTTGCAGGTCCCTGGAAAAGGCACGGCGGAGAAGGCGAACCTGTTCGCGGATAGGCTGCGGGGGGTTCTCTCGGAGAAGGACGTGGTGATCTCCCTTCCCCGGAAAACCATGGAGCTTAGGCTTCGTGGGTCTATGGGGGAGGGGATCATCACACGCGAGGAGGTACTGGAGGCGTTAGTGTCCCTGGGGGGATGCAGCGCGGGGGATTTCCGGGTCAGGCTGATCCGGCCTCTGCCGCGGTCCCCTTGGAGCACCCTGTGGGTGCGCTGCCCGGTGGTCGTTGGCCGGAAGGCCTTGCTGGCGGGCAGCTTGAAGATAGGTTGGAACACCCTTGGGGTGGAGCTGCTTCGCGCCCGCCCCTTGAGGTGTTTCAGATGCCTCGAGTTGGGGCATGCGCGAATAAACTGCTCGTCTCGGGTAGATCGCTCGCGGTTATGTTACCGCTGCGGTGTGGATGGACACCAAGCGGCGAGGTGTGTCGCCACCCCTCGCTGTCCGACTTGTGCGGACGGCGGGAGGTCGGCTGACCATGTCCTGGGTGGGCGGGGGTGCGGTTCGCTCCCCCCTCCACCCGGGCAACGCACTACCGAGGCGAAAGACAGGCGCCAGGCTCCGGGCCGTCCCGATGGGGGACGGCCTATGGAGACCGAGCTGCCTTGGCGTGCGCGCAGGCTCCGGGGCCCCCTGCTGGGGGGGCTCCCGATAGTCCCGAGTGGGTAAGGGTGGACTGCAGTCTGGGGCGGGGGAGGTCACGGAGAGGTGGCTCCCCTGTGCCGGGCTGCAGCTCTGCTCCCAATGTTTAGTGTTGTTTTTGTCACTAGTCGTAGTATGTAGTGGTGGATGCGGGGGGTTCCGGGGAGGTTGCCGAAAGGTGACTTCGTGGTCTCCCTGCTCCGCCAAGTTTATGTTTAGTAGGTAGCGGCGATGGGTATGGGTGCCGGGGAGGTTGCCGCAAGGTGACTCCGCGGCCCCTTCACCCGCGCCAGGTCTGTTGTCTTGGTCTTCTTGTCTTTTGTTTATAGGTGGGAGTAACAACCCTCCCACCTTCATTGTGGTCGGCCATTGGGCCTTTGATGTTGGCCCCTTGAGGGCTGGGCCTGTGGCCCTTACTTGGTCTATTGTGGATTGTGTATATATGTGTATACATGTTTGTCCACGTAGTTGGTGACGTTTTGTGACGTTTAAGTGTGGGGTGGGCGGCTGCGGCCGTCTCACTGACCGGGTTCGGCAGGGAGAAGGGTGGGGGCCCTGATCCCATTGCACGTCGACCCAGGGAAGTCCGTGGGGAGCTAGTAGCCCGGCTTCCTCCGATGCCCTTTCGGGGCAAGGGTATTGTCCTTCCGAGGGGATACTTGTAGTATCCTCTCGAGGGATGTGTCCTTTCCTAAAGGACGCCGGTCGGGTGGTCCACCGTGAAGTAATGCGTTAGCGGTTCCGCGGTGGACAATACCCATACGATCAGGGGCTTCAGTCAGGTTTTAGGTCGGTCCCCCGCCCGATAGTCCCTCGGGATACTACGGGCGGGAATCCACCACGAAGCCTCCTGGCCCTCCCTCAGGGGTCAGGATGGCTCCCTCAGGGACTCTGCAGGGGGGGTCATGTGCCCCCCCTGTAGGGTACGGGTTTCGCGCACCCGAGGGTCCCGAGCTGGTATGTGTGTTTATGTCGGGAGCGCTGGATCAATGATCCTACAGGCCATGTCGGCGGGGACCCCGGTCCCCGGCAGGGCCTCCCATGCCGAACGGGCTGTGGGTGAGATCTGGTTGGCTCCCGACATTGGGTGAATGTGTGTGTGTATGTGTGTGTGGATGGATGGGCCTGGTGGGGCCAAAAGGGCTTCGGCCCGCCACCCTTGGAAGGCCACCAAGTCAAAAAACCAACCAAATCAAAATGGGAAGACGACGATCTAAAAAGATCACTACCGGCCCAGGGGTTTTGGATGCCCCAGGGCCCGGCGGAGAGGGGGGTATCATCCCGGCCTCCGCCCCGTCGTCAACGAACGACGGGTGCAAGGATGAGGACATGATGTCGACGGGCTCGTCGGCGATCATGTCGGAGGAGGAGGGGAATTTCGACCCTGGGGCTGTGAGACCGGCGGTTTTGCTCCCGAACCTCATATGGGAGAGGGACCTAGCTCCATGGTGGAACGAGTTCCAGGTCGAGATCCCACGTCGACGCTCTTCCACTACTCAATGAGAGTGTGGAAAAGAATCCGGAAGGAGATTGATGCATTCAATGAATGCATCGCTGAAGAGGTAAAAGCCGAGAGGAAGATGAGCCCCATGATGCGGGAAGCGAGAGGCTTCGCTTCTCGAATCTGGCAGTTGGCGCACATCACGACGGAGAATGTTGCGGAGTTAACGCGACGAGAATGTGTCCGCCTCGGGGAGGAAGAGGCAGAAGAGATGAAGGCAGGGTTCGTCAAGAATCAAGGGACGCAAACCGAAGAAGGAACAGGAATGTCCGTGTGGACCCAGACTGAGGAGGCGCCCCCAACGATGGCTCCTCTGCCGGGGGAGTTGGTGGACAGGCTCGGGGAGATATCCTCGAGACTGGCTGCCAACTCGGACCGGCTGGAGTTGGTTGAGAGGCGCCTCGCGAAGATGGGGGTTGGTCGCGTGGGGAGAAAGGCTCGGGTCGCCCGTGGGGTCTCCAGTGAAATGGAGATCGGCATGGGGAACGAGACGGAAGCGGAGACGGCGACGGAAGGGGAGACAATGACGGAGACGGACTACGCGACGACGACGAAAGACTCGGGTGGAAAGGGGGGAAAGGGGAAAAAGGGGAAGAGGGTAAGAGAACCACGGGGGAAGGGGCGAAGGTGGTGGGGAGGGGAGAGAGGAAAAGGGAGAGAGGAGAAGAGAAAGAGGGAGGAGGAGAAAGGGGGAGGGATGAATAGCGGGGAGGAGAAGATCGCCGGTAAAGGTGGTCGATGGGGAGGGAGGGTTGGCGGCGGAGTAACCGTCGCCAATGTTATGGGAACGCCGAGACACGCTACCGGTGTCTGTGTGTTGGGCACACATGGCGCCGGTGCACCTCGGCGGTGGACAGGGGTAGCCGTTGCTATCGCTGCGGCTCCCCTGGCCACAAGGAGGTGGGGTGCCTGTCCGGCCTTAGGTGTCCACTTTGCGTGGACTTCCGACGATCGGCCAAACACAGACTCGGGGCCCCCCCGTTGATCGCCACCTTGTCGTGGTGGGGGGGCTCACCCCTCGCAAGGGAATAGCCTTGCGAGGGGTGCTAAGAGCGATCGATACCTCTTGTAGAGGTACAAGAGGCCTGGTGGGGCCTTAGGGTTTCGGCCCACCACCCTTGGAAGGCCACCAAGTAAAAAAACCAAATAAACAACATGGACGGACGAAACAACAGGAGAAAACTTACTGGCCCAGGGGTTTCGAATGCCCCAGGGCCCGGCGGAGAGGGGGGTATCATCCCGGCCTCCACTCCGTCGTTAACGAGCGACGGGTGCGAGAGTGGGGATGGGTGGTCGACGGATTCGTCGATCGCGTCGGCGGGGGGGTTTACAGACCCCAGGGCGGTGAGGCCGAAGTACTTGCTTCCGGGCCTCACATGGGAGAGAGACCTGGCCCCATGGTGGTCTAAGGAGGACATTGATGTCCCTACGACGCGCCTCTTCCGGAGGTCTTTGCGCATCTGGAAGATGGTGAAGAGAGAGGTTGATGAATTCAACGAAGCCATCATGGAGGAAGTCCGGTCGGATGGGAAGATGAGTCCCATCCTGAGAGAAGCTACGGGCTTTGCCGGACGCATGTGGCGCATGACGCGCGAACTGACGGAGGTCTCTGCAGAGCTCACGCGTAGAGAGTGCATCCGCTTCGGGCAGGATAAGGAGGAGAACGCGAGGCTCTGCAGAGACCAAGGGACCCAAACCCAGGAGGAGAAGGGGGTTCTAGCTGGAACCCAGACCGAGGAGACGCCTGCAACGGTGACCCCTTTGCCGGGGGAGTTGGCGGACAGACTCGAGGAGATATCCTCGGGGCTGGCCGCCAACTCGGACCGGCTGGGACTGCTCGAGGGGCGCCTCGTGAGGATGGGGGTCGGTCGTGTTAGAAGGAAGACTCGGGTGGCCCGGGAGATCTCCGGAGAGGAGAGCGTGATGGAGATTGGCACCGGGACCGAGACCGAAGCCGAGACGGTGACGACGGGGACGGCTACGGACGACACGACGACGACGACAAAGACGGACAAGGGGAAGACGAGGGGTTGGGGAGACCACAGGGGTGTGGGCGAGAGTGGTGGGGAAGAGAGCAGGGAGGAGAGAGAGAGGGGAGATGAAGGGGAAGGAGAAGGAAAGGTGACCGCTGGTGGAGGCGGTCGGCGGGAGAGGAGAGTTGGCGGCGGGGTAACCGTCGCCAACATTATAGGAGAGCCGAGGTGTTACCGGTGTCTATGTGTGGGGCACACGTGGCGCCGGTGCACTTCGGCGGTGGACAGGGTAGCCGCTGCTACCGCTGCGGCTCCCCTGGCCACAAGGAGGTT